TCTTCAAATTAGTAAAACGATCACTTACATTCTCTATTTATTGCATTAGTTGCAGCAATAAATCATCACATTGTCAATCAGTCAGCCTTCTACAATATTGTGTACCATTTCTAATTGCCATTTTTTTATGTCATTTCTGATTTTTTTTTTTTATCAATAACTGCAAAGGTGTATTAATCATTAGTTAAGAAGTGTACATAATATAGAAATACAACAATGCCAAGTAAGACAGTGAGAGATAAAATCTCTTATCTTTCCTCACACCAATACCCTCACTTTCAACTGTGCCCAGAATAAGGCCTCTCTCCCCACCCCTTGTTTGGTCAATGCATCAGCTAAGGAGTTAGCAAGACACGTAATCCAATTAAAAGATACTTCCATGTCTCTCGTCAGCCATCTAATTTTCTTCTCTTCATTGCTGTAATTCCATAGCTTCAATTCCTCACTTTGTATCCAACTCACAACCAATGGCAACTTGAGAATAAGTCATTTCTAATTGCCATTGGCAAGAAACAACCTAGAGCTCTGATATCAATTTAATACAGCATGGCCCAAAAACCCAGATATGCAACTTGAGAATGATAGATATGTGACAGGATGCCGAGAAAGATAGTAGAGAGATGAACCACACAGCCTTGAATTACAATCTTTGGAGTCACCTTAGAACCCTAATTCCAGATTAGAGTTACACCAATCAGTTAGAGGAGTCACACCTCTAAGAAAATTATGGAGCCACACCACCAAGGCACAAATGCTCAAGAAAAATACTCAATTCATTCACTGCCGAAAACAGACCAGTACATTCCTTTATATAAGCAAGCTTTCTTGCAAAGGAGGAAACTAGCATTAAATCTTAATTACTACACTCTAATTAATTCTCTAAAAAATTACAACCAAGGTTAAAATTTTCAACATGGTATGCCCTGTATCAAGAATATTGTATCATATCAGCACGAAAGGCCTTCGATATGCAAAATAAAGGCCTTTGGGGATTTTTAACTATTTCACGGGGTAGGCAGGCCTAAGACCAACCTCCTGAGTCATTTTTGAAAAAACAAAAACAAAAACTATTGATACTTTGAACCTTGGTTACAACTTTAACCCTCCATACATTTCTTAGTGACTAAAACTTCAAGATGATTATTGACTAGGGGTGTCCATGAAAAACTGAAAAACGAACCAAACCGCAAAATGTGGTTAACCGAACCGACAAGTATATATATTTATATGCATATTTTATCTATATGTTTAATATAATTCACATATTTTCTATATATTATATATTTATAATATATTATATATCATTTGTTATTTATAATATAATATTATACATATATTTATATAATATATATTATAAACAAGGTTCAAAGTATCGGCCGGTACATTCGTTCCAGGACCCCTTCGATATGCCCCTACAATGGGTGTATCGGGGGTCTAACCGGTTCAGGGGGTGGAGGAGCCCTAAACCGGCCCCCCTGAACCGGTTGCAAAAAAAATAAAAAACAAAACACAACAAAAAGCAGTATCGATTCGCCCGATACACCCCTACCGGTGTATCGATATTTTGAACCTTGATTATAAATATAAAAACCGGTCAAAAACCGAAACCTGCGGACCGGTTAACCGGTGGTACCGGTTCGGTTTCGGTTTGGAGAAATTGAAAAACCGATACCACTGGTTCGGTTTGCAAAAATTGCCCATGGTTTGGTTAACCAAACCGTGGACACCCCTATTATTGGCCTTCCATATGCCTTCTTTGATTCTAAGAAAACTTCAAGACCAAGTTCATTGAATTTGTATTAATTCCCAATTCATGCACCAATTAATGGGTTGATTGGTCATGGACTTGGATTTTGTGCACGGAATGTGGATATGGATAATGGGAATGGGAATGGGTAAAAGACATGGGTTTGGATATGGGTATGGATCTAATTATGATTTTGGTCTTGATGACGGGCTTGGGCTTTCATATGATTTGAGTTTCTTTTCTTCTTGCAGTTTTAAACTTCCAGGCCATCAAATGCTTCGGCATCACATAATGGTCCTAAAATAATATTTGCTCTTTTAGGGTGAGGGCATTAGTTACTAGTTAGGCACCCCATATACTTATATCTTTGCCATCTCACATTTTCTTCTCTAAAGAACTTCATACTAAACCCAGGGAAAATCTGTCTGCCTAGCTTTAGAACAGAGATATACTGATTCAAGGAACTTGTGGATTATTGTATCAGTAGCAACTAATTACCCAAAAAAGGTATAAGCATCCAGTGATGGAAAAAAAGAATGTTAAAATGGTTTGAGATTCTTAAATGGGACCAGGAGTCAACACTCTCCCCAAGGGCTTTTGTATGTAGTTCCATTATCTGAAGTAAACTGAAGTTTGGCTGACTATCTTTGTTTATCATAGGCTCTACATTCTACCTGAAACAGTAAGCAACTAATGTAACTCTTTGTCCTCTTGGTTCTGTTATATACTATTAGTAGTTGAGGTTGATTCTAGCAGTTAAGAAACTGCCTATAAAGGAGAATTTGAGGTCTTTATGTTCCTCCTCCAAGAGGGTTTTGGTCAACTGAAGCAATTGCTACAATGGATGTACAGTATTTGTATTCAACAACAAAAGAATGATATCTGCAGAAGAGTAACAACTTTTAGAGCTACTAGGTTCATTTTGGCAGGTGAATGTCCCCCTCAGGTGAAGATTTAAAACCTTGGATTTCTTCAAGGCCTTTGATGTTGCTTTTGCTCCATATTCAGCTCTGTTTTCATAAGTAGTTTTTAAGGTTGATGTATTGCTTAACAACTCCAGCCTAGCAGAACTACCACTATGGAGGATAGAGGTGAGAGAGGGTTGTCATCGAAAATTATGGTATTCTCATTGAATTTGGAGCTGGTGGTCTAATTAATTTGTTGGTTTGTTCCTTCCATACCCTTGCAAATCTATGTTCCACTAAATCTAAAATCATTAGCATTAGTTTGTTGGCAATGTTTTAAAACGCAGAGGCATGATGTGAGGCATTCCACTTATCCACTACCTGGAGGTGTGAGGCATAAGCCTCCCAAGCACATACGCCTCCTTAAGAGGAGGGGGATGAGGAGGAAGAAGGGGAAGGGGGAGGATGAAGGAGGATCTCATATTTTTTTTTTAATGAAAAATTTCTTGTAATAAGAAGAATGAAGATGCATAACACTAGCTGAACCCCCAACACACACAGAAAACAAACAAGATGTATGAAGACTCTTTGATTCTTTTGCTGGTGGTAGTTGGAAAGAAGAGGGGAAAGGTATTGACGTATTGTGGAGATGCACAAGAGCTGCAGTTTACTAGACAATTTGGAGGAAAGAAATCAGAGGATATTTGCTGATAAGGAGAGGAACAGAGGGGCAATTATTGAGGTAATCACTACAAGGGTCATAAAATAGTTGAAATCTATGAAGTTATTTGAAGACATTTCTGCAACAGCTCTGCTGAACAATTGGAAGGAAGTGGCTTATTCAGCCCCTGGTAAGAATGTTCCTCATCCATTCTGATCTCTTCCGGATCATGGCTTCACAAAGTTGAATTTTGATGGCAGCAGTGAAGGCCCTTCAGGCATTAGACATCGGAGGCATTGTTGGGAATGAGGAGGGTGGGTTTAATGCTATGGTTTCAGGCCAAATTGAGGAAGGAGATTCTCTCCAAGCTGAAGTTATGGTTGTCTTGAAAGGTGTTAAGAGGGTTAAGGAACTTAACATAAGGAACTTGATTATTGAAAGAGACTCTAAGTTGGTAATAGAATGGTTGAAAAAGGAGTAGAGTAGCATGTGGAGTTACTTAAATGTAGGAGTGTTCACGGGTCAGTTCAGTTCGGTTAGAGGTTGTTTGGCCAACAGAGTTTACCTGGTCGGGTTGGGGAGTTGGTCACTCAAAACCAACTGATTATTAGTGAAAACTGGCCAACCCAGGTTGTATCGGTTTGGTCAGTTGGTTCAAAAGATTTAAACTTAAAAAATTAGGTTTAGATTTAAAAAATTGTAACAGTATTATTAAAAAAATAAAATTTACAATATAAAATATCTCAAACTAGGAAATATGGGAATTTCTATTAGAAATTTTAAATTTAAAAAATAAAATATTAATATATATATATATATATCTATGGTCAGGTTGAATCAATTTTGTTCAGTTTGCAAATGACCAAACCAAAACCAACCCGACCTCTCAGGTTAGCATAATGGCTGAACCGAAGCCAACTGAAATTATTAGAAAACCGATCAAGTTGGGTCAAGTTGGTCTGTTTGGCCAGTTTCATCAGTTTGATGAACAACCCTACTTGAATAAAACATTATTCTTAAGTAGTTTACTCGGGGTATGATAGTGAGATTGCAGTGGGTCAAGAGGTGTGCTAACTCTTTTGCATATGCACTGGCCAGACAAGGGTGGGCAGAAATCAAAAGTTTTGGGTTTATCTATAACTTTTTAGCTTCTTGGAGGAGTTAAGAGAGTTTATCTCCCTTCTCCCCCTGCCTTTGTACCTATCTCTCCTTTTTTCATTAATGAAATGTTCCTGTTACTGATAAAAGAAAAACAAATTGGGCTGCATTGTATTGGGGAAGGGGGGGTGAAGCCTCCCAGCCAAGGCCCAAGGGGGTCCCGGAGGCAGAGTCCCCTGCCCAAATTCTTCCCCCTTCTCCTCCCTTTCCTTTTCTTTTCTTTCATTTCTCTACACCTCTAGCATGCCTCATGCAAGAGGTGTATGAGGCATACACCTCAGAGGCATCAACACCACTGGTATATGCCTCAGGGCCTCTAGGCATATGCCTCCCATGCCTTTTAAAACACTCATTTGTGGAACCCAAAGATTTGATCATTGAGTAGTTGATTCATATTGGGTGTTTCTACCTCTGCCTTGCTGTTGAAGAAAATGTGCTCATTATAGTTAAGTTCTGCAGATCTAAGCTTGTTTTCTTTGCGTGAACAGTCAAGGTATCAAGTTTGAGAAATGTTTTCTTTTCTATGCAGTTTTTCATGGATGATTGCCTACAGAGATTGATTGACATAATTGACTCAGAAGAGTTAGGAAACTTGATACCCAGTGAGCGGATCTCAAAGCTTGTTCAAATTCGCCTAGAAATGCAGGCACCATACATATCAAAATGGCCTCAAGCACTAAGCATCCAGGTTTGATGCTACATATACTCACTTCCGCTTGGATTTTCAGGGATTGAGCCCAAAAACCTAATTCTCTTTTTTAATGACATTTTCTGCACTTGTAAAAAGTCCCAACCATTGAATATCACAACTAGCTTTAAGCAGCGGGCAATGCTGGTTGATGAAATCTGGCATGCTGTTGGAGACCAAGCATCTGATATTGATTGGTATCTGAAGCGCACAATCCTTGGAGGCATATATTCTGCATCTGAGGTTTACATGCTGACTGATAATTCACCAGGTTCATTCTTTTCTGAACTTCTTTGAGTTGAATTTATGTTAGGATGTTTGAACTCTGAAATTCTGCAGGTAATTATGAATGAAAAATAGTTGGTTTCGATGCCATAGTTTTCCTCCAACCATCCCCTTTGATTTCTTTTTTTTTCATTTCATTTGTCTTTACCCTTTTTTTTGGGGGGGGTGGGGGTGGGGAGTGGGTGTTAGACTGTATCCAAGCTGATTTATATTTGTACTGAAATTTTACAGATTTTCGTGATACATGGGCTTTTTTGGATCGCCGAGTGAAAGATGCTTTTGATCTTGGGAAAACTCTTCAAGAGGTAACCTCTCATAGTCTATCATGTGTTCCTTCCTACCTTACAAATGCTTTGGTTGTTATGTTTTAGGTTGGGCTTAATGTTGAGATCATTTTGCTGAAATGCTTTGGATATTTTGCAGGCGAAGTACTTGGCAGAAGCTGTTGGTGCAGGAATGGGGAATTCAGTGCAGGGATTCATGAGGAGAGTATTTCAGGGATGAACATTCAAAGGCAGATCCATTCAGATCTACTGTGTGGAACTTATGGATGACCCTTTCCTGTTTCGAAGTCCTGAAAATAAAGTCCCTACGTTCCATAACACATTTTCTTATTCCATGTTTCCATGAAGGTGAGACGGTGGAGTGGAATACACCCTTTATTACATTTAAATGCTTTTATGAGTTTTTCTCCCCATTGTAGGATTATTGGGTTGTGTGAACATAATAAGCAAGAAATAGAATCATGGTCTTGCCACATGATCTTGAATAGAAAGGATATTAAGACCATGTTAATTCTGGCCCTCAAAATTCAACCGTAGGAATCACTTGGACCTTTGCTCCGATCAGGAACATTTGGTTGGTCTATCCGTCTATATGAGAAGCAGCATTTGTATTGTATCGTTCGATTATCGTTGAGGCTGTGCTTTGATTACATTTTGTGACGTGGGCGACTCAATTTATTTAATAATATGAGAAGATTTTTTTTTTTTCCTTCACTTGGGCCAATTTTTGTTTGATCTTGATATAAAACCAGTCAAGCGGGGGACTCGTGCGATGGACGTGTTTTGTTAAAAGTAATTGTGACAAGCCTTGCAACATTACCAATTGGGTTAAGTGAGATAGAGTCCAATCCAAATATTATTTTATGATTCTGTATTGTTGGATAAATTAGTGTTAAATTTTTTTTTGTTAATTTAAAACTAAAAATCCTCATACGTTGTCAGTTCCATTGATAAATTTTATAGCAGTATTTAGTTTTATTAATTTTTTACTGACTTTTTTATTTTATATTATAATTATAATTTTTAATGTATTCTTTCAAATGGATTTTAAAGTCAATATTTTTAAATATATTCATTATTTTTTCTAATTGTAATTTTTAGTTTATTGTTATTAGATTTATTGGTTTTTATCATTATTTTTAAACGTAACTTTAATGGTTATTAAATTATAAAAATTAATTTCAAAACTAATAATTTTTTATCAATGTTTCTCTTTGTTTATTAATAAACTTGTATTTAGCATTCACCATGGGCCAAGATAGGTCAGCCTTAGGCTGGGGCGCTGGGCTTAGCACATGTGATTTGGTTATGACCCAAGCCTGGGCCTGACCCAAGTTCTGCCAAAAGTATAAGCTTGCTTCCAGCCCAACACGAGCCTGGCCTAGGCTTAGCAATTGTAATAAGGGTTATAGCCCAGGCCTGAATAGGGTGGGGCTTAAATCCGAGCCTATGAATTTTAAGCATAAAATAGTGAATATATTATATTTTATATTATATCATATAATATTATTTTATACATTTTGTAATATAAAATACTATATATTATAAAATATCACATAAATGCATATGGGCCATGCGGACCTCGGGTTAGGCCTGAAGTGATGGGCCCAAGCCGAGCCTTGAAGTTAAGTGAATTTCAAATTAATAAATACTAATTTTAAAATTAAAAATTTTGTTTACTTTTACTAAATGTTTTGATAATTTATGTTACGTTATCATTTGATTAAGATTAATTAAATTGTTAAGTTTAATCAATTAAGTTATAGTTAATTATATACTTTATTTATAAATAAAATAATTATCATATTATATTAAGGACTTTTGTTGTAAAAAATTAACAGCCCCACCTATAAACCCAAAAAACATACCCCATAACATATACAAAGGTTTATTAGAGAAATTTATGGTTCAGTCCACTTGAGTTTTATTGGTTTTTATTTTATTTACCAACAACTCCACCTTGAATTTTGATTCATTTCCCCATGACACTATTTCCAACCGTACAATCCAATAAGAGTTTATGAGGTGGATTGAACAATTGTACATCAAAGGAATTTTAAAAGCATAGAAACCTCTCTTGCAAAACACAAAAATGTTTGTTGGCTCTATGCAGTGGTGCCTTAGACCATAATAGATTACACGTGGAACTATGTAAAATTTAAAAAAATCAAAAATCAAAAAGAAAGGGGAAATGAGAAAAAAGAAAGACAAACACCACATTAGACCATATATATATTAAAGGAATGGTTTCAGGTCAAAGCCCCTACAGTCAGACATGTGGCCCACTTACATTCAGACACCTGTCATTTCAAAGATTTAAATAAAATGGACACGTGTCAAATTCTGATTAGTGGTAGTTCAATAACAGAGCCCAATAGAGATGTGTCAAATTATGATTAGTATTAGTTAAAGAAAAGAGCCCACTAACATGCAGAGCGGAACCCACCACCATGTAGAGTTATGAGAAATGGGAAGCTCCCACTTTCAATCATTTCCTAAAAAAAATGAAGTTGTGCTATTAATTACTGTTAACTACTAAACTAATTAATTAATTCCAGCTAATGATTACTAATAATAATTATTATTAACTACTTCTAATTAATTAATTACAGCTATTAATTACTGTTAACTACTTCCAATTAATTCATTCCAGCTATTAATTACTAATAATAATTACTAACTGATAATAATTAATTACTGAAAACAATTTCTTATAATAATTACTACTATTACTTAATTACTGGTAATAATTAATTAGTGACAATATTACCCATTATTAATTCAGAAAAATAATAACTTATAATAATTTATTGTTGACAATATTGCTCATTATTAATTCGAAATGATAATATATTAATGATAACTAATAAATATTTTCATAATGGTAATTAATAATTCGGAAATAATCATTTTATATTTATATTAACTCATATTAATTATTTTGAAGTAAATATTTAATGGTAAATATTTATATTTATTATCAAAAATTATAATTCATACATTTATATAAAATAATTAATTATATTATTATAAGTAATTATAATTAATAATATTATATTAATGAATATAATTATATTATTATTATTATCAATATTTATAATTAATTATTACTTCGGATTGTTAATTAATTAATGATAATTAATAAGTATTTTAATAATTTTAATATTAATTTGGATATAATCATTTTATATAAATATTAATTCATATTAATTATTTTATAAATATATAATTAGTGTTACTTATTTACATTATTATTATTACGAGTAATTATAATTAATACTATTATTATTCTCCAATAAATAATCCATTTAGTGAAAGTTAAATTATAAAACTTTCAATTATTCAATATTGTTAACTTAAAGAATTATAAAAGCAAATATTATTTTACGAATTAACTAAAAATCGTAATTATAACAAATTAATTACTTAATAAAAATAAAAAATAATAATAAGAGTAGTAGTAATAATAATAATAATAATAATAATACTTTAATATTGCTGATTTCAAAATCAATACACACATAATAAGAATATATTATTAGTTAATAATAATAATAATATACTTATTATTATTATTGATTTCGCAATTATTAATATATTATTAATCTATTAATAATACTGATTATTATTAAAAAATGTTAATAGAAAAAATTAATTACTTAAAATTATTTGATGAAATTACCCGTTTTAATTTGGATAGATAATTAATTATTAATTATTAATTTCTTAAAATTATTATTTACAGAATAATTTTAATTACTCTTTCATCAATGACCTTGTTTTTGAATTATTGGTTTTTTATGTTCAATAGTTCTTTACTTATTTTTTCCAAAAATCCAAATAATTTTTCATTTGCAATGCTAACCATTTTATTTTTCCCTTATTCATTTTTCCAAAAGATAAAAAAATAAATTAATGATATTTACCTATTTTATCAAATTATGTATTTATCGAGTTGTTGTCATTGATGATGACGATGATGATGAGCCAACTTTTTGAAAGAGAGGGGTACTAATAATAATTAATGATTTCTAAATAATTAATTTCAGCTATTAATTACTAATAATAATAATTCACTGAAAATAATTTCTTATAATAATTATTGCTAATACTTAATTATTGATATTAACTAATTACTGATAATATTTTTCTTTGTTAATTCAGAATGATAATTAGTAACGATTTTCATAATGGTAATTAATAATTCAAAAATAATAATTTTATATTTATATTAACTCATATTAATTATTTTGAAAATAAATATTGAATGTTAATTATTTATATTAGAATTATTATCAGAAATTTTAATTCATACATTTATATGAAGTAATTAATTATATTATTATTATCAATAATTATAATTAATTATTACTAATAATAATGATTTCTAATAAAAAAATTACTAATTATAATTACTTACTACTAATTAATTCTTAATTATAATAATGATAATTATTACTTTGGAATGTTAATTAATTAATGATAATTAATAAGTATTTTAATAATGTTAAATATTAATATGGATATAATCATTTTATATTTATATTAATTCATATTATAATTTTATGAATTTATAATTAGTGTTAATTATTTGAGTCCTAATTATATCATTAGTTGATTGTAGCCGTACTTGATGATGATTCGATTGTAGTCATATATTTTTCATCTCTTGCTTTAGAGGATGGATGCATATGCAAATGTTGTATGGCATGGATTGTTTTTCTTAGCAGCTCTTTGAATGATTTTCTTCCTTCTTTGCCTCTCTGAAGGGATATCTTAAATGCTTTTTATCCATTCATATGTTCCTAAATATTAAGCATCATTGGTGATATTGTTGTAAACTTTTTATCCATCTAAATTTACTATTTTATAAATAGACTAATGATTTCAAAGTTATTGATACTTTTTTGGGGGTGGGTTGCTCAACAGAACATTGATTTTTTATTGTTAAATTGTAAATTTCAAATTAAATGATACTGTAGTTGCTCCTTACTTAATATGGGATCATTATCTAGATAAACATGGTAAGTCTCTTAAATCAAATAAAGAGCCTACCCTAAATGTCTATTATAAATAATTAAAAAATGAAATAATTCAGATTAAATCAAATAATTACTTATTGAGAATTATTGAATTAAGTAAATAATAAAAACAATCAATTATTTATAGAAATAAATAATAATAATAACAAGCATCAAATACTTAATTAAGTAAATAATAAAAAACAAAATAACAATCATCATTTATCATTAACTTAAAGTACGGGGTCATTCACCAGCATATATATAAAAACAAAGTGGTCAAAAAATTTTCTCCTTTTTTTGAATTTTTTATTTTTTAATTCATGTCATTTTTTAAAGAACCAATGAGATGTTCTCCTTTCCCAACAATCTCTTTTCCTAAAATTTATCCAAACTACCTCCCCTACTTTCTCCTAAATCATCTCCAATTCTTATTTATCTCCTAACTTATCTCTAATCTACTAGAGAATTTCTCTCCAAATTATCTCTAACTCCTATTTATCATCTTTGCCACTTTTTATCTATTTCTATCTAAAGAAAGTTTAAATTAAAAATATAAAAACTATTTAAATATTTTAACAAATTAAATAATAACGTTAAAATATT